GAGCCGCAAAGCTCGAGAATGGGAGGACTGGGGGGAGGCAAATCATTATTTTTTCTAAGGACCCAAAAAACAAAACAAAACCAACATTTTACCCCACCTGTTTTTTTCAGCCATCACCAGTGAAGTGAATTTCAAGAAACTATCCAGAGAAGTGCTTGGCGGGAGTTCACAGCCCTTGCCTTTTTGCAGAGCCCAAGAACTGAACACAGATAATGTGCACCCTGCTATCTCTGCATTTCTCCCACTTTGGCCATGAAAAATGCATTACTTCTAGGGTGTATACGGAATTAACTAGTTGGCAATAGTTGTGCTCAATCTTATGGCGACAATTAGTGTTCAAGAAACTGGGTTAATTCAGACCATTTCCAGGACACAGCTTCTTTTTTATTGTTTTTCTAAACACCTGCCAATAATCAATTTACTCCATTGTCTCCGATTAAGCTAATTCTTAAAGAAAATGCCTAGCACTCAAAGACTCCAGAAACTACAACTCGAGAATCCAAAACAACTAGAGAAAGCATTTGTGCCTTATTTCACTTTTCAGCAAATTAAGCTTTCCTCCCACCCCCAGAAATCATGTGCTAATAGAAGAAAACACTCCTGACATATAAAAGTTTTAAAACTAGCAACATGTTCTGAGCAGGATAAGATCTAGGAAGTGCATCGGGTGATTCAGTGAAGTCAAGGCAATAACGCAATTCTTTAAGTAGTATTGTGGAAAAAGACTAAAATATATTCAGGTTGAATTCAGAAATAAAGCTCATAAGAGAGAACAAAGTGGAATATATTTCTTTATGTAGCACATATTTGAGTTTGCGGCAGCTTTTTACCTCACTAAATAAGTTTTAAAGCAGTATATTAAGGTGTCACCTTTAACAGAAATACCAGTTCAGTCCTTTTTGCGGTAACACCACATACCCTGTTCAATTTACATGTCTGAACACATTTTGCTACACATAGAAGGTTTTCCTGGAAGCTTGTAGTTCTGTTCTAAATATAGATGAAGCCTGACTGTATTTTAAAGAAAATGAATCCACGTCATATAGCACAGTAACACAGTCTATCCAAAACCAGGGATACAGGAGCCTGGATGTTCTCTGTACTGACTGGAATGGTTGTTTATATACTTGAAATGCCTTTTTATGAGCTACAGTTACCTTGGAAACCACTAGCAAAAATGAAAATTTTGTCTCCATGGAAAGAAACACACTAGTCAGGTATCTCAGAAGTTGCCTCCTCCTTCCTGATCCATCTGAAACACAAAGATTAGAAGTTTGCAGTTGTTAGGTCTTAATTCCCTCACCTACTCTGAAATTATGATTACTTTGACCAGTAATGCCACGGCCCAAAGTTCTTGGGAAACATACTGACTTTAAGTGATGGGCATTCAAGTGTTTCATCATTGTTGGATATTTTCTTTGATTAAAAATACTCAAAAAAGAAAAAAAGTCAGGGTTTCCTCTGAACACTGACAGAGAGTAGTGTTTTGGGAGAAGATAGATTAAGGATAGATTAAGGAAACATAATCCTAAGAAGATACTGTGCAATATGCTGATCAAATACAAGGATTTCTTGTAGCCTGAGGTAACTTAGTAGTTACCAAGAAAATCTCTGCAGGGGTAAACTCGAATTCTAAGAGCACAGCCTTTTGGTAAAGACATTGAGGATTTACACTTCATGTGACAAAAACACAGTAAGAAATTAAACTGCATATGCATAAAAGCTCTAATAACAGCACATTAAGTTCTAGTAACAACGTGTGGCCTGATGCTGTACAAGGTTCACAAGTTCTCCCAGAATATGAGGCAATGTAGTATTCATGCAGTATTCTGAGTTTWACTAATAAACCTGTCCCCCTGTATGCTGCATGTCTCCCAAGAAGAAATCCCGGAGTACTTCCTTTCTGTGAACGTCATGAATTACATGAAAGTACCAGCAGGTTCTGCTAGTGAACAGTTTCCTGCCTTCAGAAGAATATTTATGATTTGTAATGGGCAAAACAATGAGCATATAATTCTCTTCAAGAACCACACAGCTAGAGTTCAGGTTTGTCAAGTTTTGCAGGCATCAAATTCCAACCAACAAATTCCTGTATGTTAGGGAGAGATTRTTTTCCTCATGACATCTGAGTAGATTCAGCACCTTACTGAACAGCGACTTCTTTGATCTTTTTACGTATCACAGAAAGAAAGAACAACTGGAAGAAGTGCCTGTGGCGTTACGGACAGTGAAARCTGGAATGGGATGGCACGTCCCCTTTCTCATGTGGGCTTTTATTCTTTCCCATTATTGCGAAAGCCTGCTTAAAGAGTGAGCTCCTTCAGAGTTCTCCACAGCCACCCTCATAGACATTTACTCCCTTTGTCCTTTTTGCTCACCTCTGTACTGCACCCCCTTTTTAAATGGGATTGGGATAATCAGCTCCCTAAAGAGAAACATATTTAGCTTGCACCTAAGCAGCAAGACTCACAAGGTAGAGGATATGGAAAGGAGGAGCCATCTAAGGGAAAACTTGTGTTTGCCAGATCATACAGAGTGAGTACCATGCACAACAGGGACTGGAGCACTCGGGGATTAGAGAAAGAAATTCCCCAAGGACCAGAGGAGACAAAGCAGAATTTGTTAGACTCAAAAAGCTGCAGCATGAGCTGCATTATTTGAAACAGAGACTGCATGCAAAGACATCCCTAGAAGGACAGAGGGGGCTGGGATTAGAGGAATGAGTTGTTAGAAATCAAAAACATTTTAATTTAGCTTGACATGGTTGCTTTGAATTTTCCCTATTTAAGAAAAGTTTCTAGTTGACATTACAACAAAACATAGCATTTCCTTTCCCAAGCTTCAAAGGTTTGTGGTCAACTCCGTGAAGTTCAAGGCCAATGTGGAATCACCTTAAAGCTCTAGTTAACTCACTCCCTGCCACCRGCTAGAAGACTCTGTAATGTCCCCTCCTGCCTTGCAGTTTCCCTGCTCAGCAGCACGATGTGATTTTCTGCTTCAGCCTGTGCTTGCAGGTTTGGACAGTGCCGGGCATTGGCTCCGAGGTGACCTACCTACAACAGCTGCCTTGGCTTGCAGGCCCTTGCATTAACCAGCCAGGTGAACGGATACAAAAACAGCGAGCACTTCATCAAAACCCTGCCCTATTAACACAGGTACAACTCCATGGAATGTTTCTGCCTTAACAAAGTAGAATTTCCCTGTGAAAAGCGGCTAGCTACGACAAAAAGGGAGGCGCTAGCTACTGGCAGAAACCAAATGGTTCAGTATCCAGTAAAAACTTACAGGATAAATAATTACCGAGAACCTCAAAATAGCATTTGGTGTTTTTCCCCAACCTAATTGGGCAAAATTGTTTTGCAATTTCCAGTGCTTTCCACCAGCTGAGCATTGCACAATGAATGCTGAGTAATGTAATTTAYTTTGCATTTTGTTGTGGGCATTTGCTGCCAGTTAAACAAGCTCACATGGACCATTAGCAAGGCTTAGCCAACACGCAACAAGCTTCTAAGCTACTGTAATGTTTATTCTTCCTCCAATCCTTACACTGATGTGCGAGACAAAAGAGGTTTTGAGAAYTAAACGACAGAAGTATCCTCTATAGATGAAGAAATTATTAAGTTTCTTTCTTGGGATGTGTGTGTGTGGGGGGGGTCTGAACATTAAAACAGCAAGAAAACCTTGTAATATGACTTTCCCTGTCTCAGTTGACTTGATTTCTACATAGACCTTGTTCTAAAAAGTGGTTGAAATTTACGGTGCACTTCTCTGAAAATACCTATTTTATGTTTAAACAAAACAGAAGAGTAATCCAATTTCAGTAGTTACTGAATTCAACAGAACAAGCCAAGTACTTATTACAATGCAGTTAAATTAGATGAGTTCCCCATTTTGCCCATAAATTACCTTTTAAAGAGAAAGTATTTTTGGTGAAGTAGGCTGAAATAAATTATTTAATGCTAATTTATTATCTCTATTAGCATTCTGAACTGGTCCCTCTCACGGGAGCATACAAATCCCATGCATTTTGGGAGAATATTAATGAGCACATGCCCCGGCTCTGAAGTCATTTTAGTTTCTATTAGTGATACAGATTAACATTACTTGAAATCAGATTATATTTAGCTATGATTCTTAGCATTACCGTAATAAAGAAGTAATTGAAAAGAAAAAGTAATTGAACATTTTGCTCTAATGAAGAAATATCATATTCGGATTTTTTTTTTTCTTTCTCCTCTCTTCACACCAACACATTCAGTTTCCTATTTTCCATCATGCTTCAGGTGCGGTTTATTTGGTTCTTCTAAGTCAGATTTGAACAAGCTCCTCCATGTTAAAGAATTTTTCACTTTGGGGGTGGGAGGGGGAAACCTCCCTTATTCTCCCTTAAAACAAGGGTCTACTTGCAGAGCATAGTGAATTTTAAGAACTAATGGAATGAGACTTAAGTCTTGAAACAAAGGTTATAATATCCAGCTAGGGAAAAACAAACAAACATCCCCTGCCCCCCCACCCCCAACATATACACTGTTCTCAGAGGAAAGGAAGAAAAAAAGAAGGGGGGGAAGGGGGAAAAAAAAAAAAAAAAAAAAGTCTTCCACAATGGAATCACTGAGATTTTCTCCCACTCCTTTAAAATGATATCTTTGGAAATGAAACAAAGGAAAGAAAAAACAGAAATGATATGGACATTCAAGCACGGAAAAGACTCACACTTGTATCTGCTTTAAACATTGCCTTTTTCCCTGCCTCCCCTCTCCTCTCTCCAATTCACTTAGAAGTTTTCACCAAACACTCTTATAAACCACTCACACAAACAAAATCAGAGGAACTTCCCTTAAAAAACTGACAGTGCTACCACGTCACATGCACTGATAGTGGAACAAAACCAGCCAATTCAAACTACTACACCTACAACAGAGATAAGTCTGAAACTGCAATAAGAGGAAAACAGCCGGCACAGGGCAATGTGCTGCTCAAATCAGATGAGAGAAACTTACGCTTGTTGTGTAAGCGGCTTCAGGGTCGTCCTCCAACACCCGTGACAAACCAAAATCAGAGACCTTGCACATGAGGTTACTGTTGACCAAAATATTCCGGGCTGCCAGATCCCGGTGCACGTAGCCCATGTCGGAGAGGTACTTCATGCCAGACGCAATCCCACGCAGCATGCCAACCAGCTGGATCACTGTGAAGTGCCCGTCGTGCTTCTGCAAGTAAGGGAAAGTGCACGTTCAAGGAACACAGCTAGTCCCCATGAATCCCCTACCACTGCTATTAACTMCATTTTGCATTTAAATTGCATTTATAACCCAACTAACTCACTGATGACTTAGGTAACTTGTTCAGCAGCACTAACTTTCCCATCTCTCATTGCACGGCTCATCCCCCCTTTCTTCAGCAATTCCACACTCTCCATATTCTTTCCACTGACAGCTTTTAATGACGTTTATCCTTTAGTTTATTACTAAAAACACTTTTCCCAAACTCATTTTTGTAACCTAAGAGCGACAAAAAAACAACAAAAAAATCCTCATCATCTTGTACTCCATTCCCTCAGGAAATAAGAAGCGCTCCTTTAATTGCTACACTCTTGGTTTTCTGAATGAGATACTGCTGCTTTCTTATTATTTTCTTTCTTTCCTTCTTCCCCATACTCCCCCTCCTCTGTAAACTGGAATAAGTTTGTGGCAGTGACTGCTGTTCCTCATGGCTGTCCTGCACCTAACACCACATCATGTCCAGATATCAGACTGAAAAGCAGAAAACTTGGACTAAGATTCATGCAATGCGAGTGCCCATTCCACAGTCTTCCTGGGTGATGGAATAAGACATTTGAACCCAGACTCCAAGAAGCATTAAGCTGCTTGGCTCCTATTTAGATGTTTAATTCTAGTAGATTTCAATAAGAACTACGTTGTGAGCAACACTTGCCTAGGAGGTTACTCTTAGTAGGCCTCAGTTCACCATGTGTAAAAGAAAATCAACACTTCTGTATGTTGCAAATAGTTAATAGAAGGATCAGAAGGTGCCTGGATTTTGTGGCAGTAGCAACCAAATGAGAACCCGTTCAGCACTCTGATTAGGGCTCTTGGCCTGCTTTATGCCTGCTCTATCTACCCTTTACAGCAAGCTGCTTGCAGCAGTATTTTGTAACCTCTGCTGGCAGATATTTTGGCTTCTCATGTATTATTCAGCAAGCCWGGCTTTTACGTTAGCAGGAGCAGCCAAACAGAAACAACTCTCTCTTGCAAGCAAGTTAACTCTCCACCTTCTTCCTTGATCATCTTCAGCACTGGGCTACCTAGAAGTAGCAACATCCTGGCCAGCCATAAGGACATTTTGGGGGTCTTAGTTCACTTGTGTAAGTTGTATGGATTTTGCAGGGGAGAACTTATTCTTAAGTTCAATAAATTTAATAAAATTAGCAAAGCAATAAAACTGAAATATACAAATATTAAACTCTGATTAAGAGAGTATTTCTGAGTATCCACCAGGATTCACTGACTGGGGCTTATAGATATGCTAACCAAGACAAGTACTTAAAGAAATAACAAGAAATATATGTCCTCATCAGTTGTTAGCAGTGCCTTATTCACCTAAGATRGTCTGCATTGGTGGGAGCTGCATCTGCTGCGTTAAATAACCATTAAAGAACAGGCCACATAGAGTGGATATAAAGGACATGTCAGCAGTGAACGAAAACTTCTGCCAGGTCCCTCTAAAACTTCATTATAGCCTGTGCACCTTTGTCTGTGGGGACATCTTGTGCACAGCAGACACTTAGCTCCTCGAGACAACCACTAYGGTGTGAATTTGCAGCTCCAAATAACCAAGGAGCGGGACCCACAGCAGCTTCTGCTAAGACTAATGCATCTTCCTCCAGGAAGAGTCGGACTAAGCTTCCTTTCTGCTGTTGGCTGATGAAAGGCATTATCACAGCGATCAGATACTGAGAGTCAAGGCACTCACAGTCAGTGCTTAAGCACCTTAAAATAGACCTCCGAGAGAGAAATTTTGCACAGAGGTATTAAACAAATGAACCTATTGAAGCACAGGAGCAAAACTGCTTTCCCTTTTTTTGTATTAAATTCTCTGCTGCATCTCAGATGAAAATCTCTCAAGTCTAAATCTAAACCTTACCAATAAAGAAATAAATCCTCAAAGAAAAGAAAACTATTTCATCAAGGTAACCCRTTCCAGAGCTCTCAGTTGTAATTAATGTAAAAAAGATGACCCTAACAGRGAAAGGTTTGGTGTTGATCACTCCTCATGTTATTAATCTATCTTCTGGGATGAAACAGTACGAGTATGTCTTTCAAASATATTGCATCTGTACTTGAATCAGGAGTATAGACATTTTAAAGTGACAATTAAGAGGTGCTTTGCACTTAATTAATTCATGCGCATGACAGGCTGCTAATTTGAAAAAGTCATTTTCCTATATAGGAAACAGAGGAAAAAAWATAATATCACTATTGTTTGATTAAACTGCTGGACACAAATAGGAGGAAACAAACTTAACAAGCAGCAAAGGCAGAGCTGATGCAGATTCTGTGTTCCTTAGAGCTGGCRCAGTATCTTGAAACACTTTCAATTCCCTTATTCAACCAGTCAGCAGAAAAGCCTAATTTCCACTGGTTAATATTATTATGCCAGATTAAAATAAAACAAAAACAAAAAGAAAAAGGGAAAAAAAAAAGGAGGGGGGGAATAAAAGATACACATGGTAGATATGCAATTAGATTTTGAAGCTCTATCCTAAGCCAACATATCACCAAGCAAAAGAAAGGAAACTAGCAAACCTAATCCATTAAAACATCCTGTGGTCTCATATGGCTACAAACAGTCATATTTATGGAGCCACACAACAGACCTATCCCACCGATTTCTCCAAACAAAGCACACTTACTAACACATCTTTAACATCACTTATTCACAACAGACTCAGAATAACCTTTTTCCCTTGAAGGTCCTCATCATGCCTCTCTTTTAGTGCTTTGCAGCCTTCCCATCTCTGACTTGTCACACCTGAAAGCCCTTCCTGCTTTGCCCTCTCCATCAAAGCCACCCACAAGCACTTAGCTCTGCAGACAGCGTTCAAGTAAAGGCCACAGTACGATTCCAGGGTGGTAAATAAATAGAAATTCCCTATTGCAGACCTTTTCCAAAAGAAGGGGGAATCTTTGAGAGTCCAAAACATGCCAGCAATAGATCTTTTAAATAAAAATAGTAATTTAAAAAAAAACTAGCAAGCAATTAAGCAGAGACGTATAAGAATATTCTTATTTTTTTTCCARTAAAAGAAGGAGATGAGTTCAGTCCAATATTTCATCTATTGAAACCACACTGGATATTTTTCTTTTTACTTAATAATTCTATCTTCTCAATTTACACAAACCTTAATGAGCTGTGTGCTGTTTGTAGTTTTCACAATGCTTCATGGGTACTTTTATACTTTTTTTTTTTCAAATGAATATTGAGTTATGAATTTGGAACAAAGAACCTAAGATTTACTTTTGGGAAAAAAAAAATGTTTCCCAAACCTCTGGATTTTACTTCAAATCAAACCCTCAGATTCATCYGCAACACTTAACCTTTTGTCCCTTCAAATCCCAAATGTTTGTTCKTTCTTTTTATTTCATGCTTCTTCAAATGCGTGACTGACTGCATAAAACACAGTCCCTTCTCCTCCTTCCAAATCTCACCATTTGCCATCCTAGTCCAGCAGAAATGTTTGGGTTAAAAGCAGGCTCRCACTTTTGCCATTCTCTCTCTCCTTGTGTCAAACTTCTTTGAGCTTCTGCCTCGACACAAAAAGCCCAAGCTTTCCCTCACCTTTACAAAAGGGAYACGCTTGCTAACAAACCAGTTAGTTACAAATTTATTCTGTTCTCCTTCTTCCTCCATATGCTTCTCTAAATCCTGTTCTGCAGCTGCTTCCCTACCCCTTCCCATGCTTGGTTTTATATCATTTCCTCATAGCTGGAACAGCTTGATTCTTCCTGTCAGCAAAACAATCTTCTCTACCTCAACTCTCTCTGTAATTACTTTCTTTGCTGTGGTGTCTCTGCCAGCTGTATTCCCTTGCAATATATAAATGATTATTTTCCCATGTATCAAAATACYTGTCTGATTTAAGCTGACCAGTCAGATACTGCTGGCCAAATTTAACCCTTGGGAAATTCAGCTAAGTCGGTAAAATTATACGAGGTATGAATCTGGCCTTCTATCTTCAGCACTTGTAAATCCCCACATACATCGAGRAGTCAAACGAATCCTTTGGCAACTTTCCTTTATTTCTTGTTTCACTTACTTTGTCCTATAGGGGCATAAGATACTCATCTGAATGATATGGCAGTTGTTATCCAGGATTTATTCTGATTCCCATGCCTTATATGTGAAATGCATCCTATCTAGGATTCCYACTGGGCTGCGAAGGGTGTTAATCGATACTGGCAGCATGCAGGTCACAGTGGACCTACCACATTTATCATATTATCCCATCAAATCATAATCATGCTTTAATGGCTCTGCTAAATAACTTTTTTTCATCAGTTGAGTACAGATGCAATGTCTKTCTGGTTTGCATTGCATTTATGCAGCTCTTCTAATGCCCTGGAAAATAGTTTTCCATGCAGCTTCTGTTTGTCTTGGAAAACTTGCATGCATGAAATATCCTAACCCTGTTGCAGATCTTTCAGTAGCAGGGATGCCTAATAGGTCAATGAAGAACATTAGTTACTTCAGAGGAAGAAGAAATAAGTCCTCCTTTAACTTTCTCTCATTGCTTTTTACCCTCTGCTTTTCAGCTGCAGCCTATATAACAGATCCATGCTTTTCTAGATGCTTATGGAATTCTGTTCTTCAGAAGAGGGTTTTTTTTTCACTTTTCTGTCTGGAAGTGTAGTGGGTAAAGTTCCCTGTATTGTTTCTTGGCTTTCATTTATTCTAGACCTCATCTCTTTATTTACCCTATAGGGCAAAGTAAAATTTTAGCAGTTTTAATGTCTTGTATTCTGAGAGGCACAGGTGTAAATAATTTAGTGCAGGTGATTTAGATCTTATTTTAGATAAACAACTCAAGAGTATATTCACTGATGTTGGTTTCTTTAGTTGCTTTATAATCTAGTTTTTGCTATGTATTTATTATTACTGTTCTATCATGCAACTAATGCTAGAACTGTATTGGGATAAGTCTTTCAAGGCT